CTTTTCTAATCCTGTGTGTGTGTGTGTGTGTGTGTGTGTGTGTGTGTGTGTGCATGTGCTGGAAGATTTCACTCTTATTCTAATTTCAAATGACAATGACAGGCTTCGTCAGGCAAACAAAAGTAGAACAGTGCCTGGTTTCCATTATCCAGGAGTTGACATCTGATTTAAAGGAGAAGATGTCAACACAAAATTGCTCGAGATCAAAATAGAACAAAGTAATATACACTGTAAGCTTCTTTGTTATGGGCTATAGATTTATTTTAAGTCAAAGAGTGGAAAGTATTTTGAGTTGATTTGTATGGCTTTATTGAATAAATATCTATTGGGTGTTATGCTACTTGGTAATTGTTGCTATCCTGTGACACAGGTGTAAGTGAGATATTGTGTTTTAAGGCTACTTGGGAACTTTTTCTGAGAGAGATGGATACTACAAGTAGACCAGCAAACACATGTGTCATTACAGATTGTGATAGGCTCCATTACACAAAGGATCTAGGGCATGTGAAAGAACAAAAGGGAGAAGGTATTCTTTGAATGGAGTGGTCCAGAAAAGAAGACAAAATTCCTTTCCCACCTCAGGAAATTCCTTATTCCCCCTTCCTCCTAATTTGTTTTCCTCTGGGGTTCTGACCACCACTCATTCAGCATATATTCTGTTTGTTCTTACCTGTACTTATTCACTTGAATGCAAGCTTCATGAAGGTAGAAATGTGCTCAACACCTCAATGTGCTGGCACATAGGAATTCATATTCATTCAATAAATCAATGCGTGGATATCAATACCTTTCTCCCGTTAGGGTATTAAGAATATGGGGCAGTTTTATTTCTTATTATTTTTTAAAATATATTTTTATTGATTTAGAATAGGAAGGGAGAGGGGAGAGAGAGAAAAATCGATGATGAGAGAAAATCATTGATTGGCTGCTTCCTGCATGCCCCCCACTGGGGATCAACCTTGACTGAAATTGAATCCAGGATCCTTTAGTCCACAGGCCAATGCTCTATCCACAGAGCCATACCAGCTAGGGCTGTATGGTCGTTTTTAAATAGAAAACTGTGGAGAACAGTAGCACTCTGTGGGCAAAGGGGAACACCGCTTTAGTAAGCAGGAGAAAATTGCATTATAAAGTGCATTGGGGTCTCCGTGAATGGGAACTTTGGAAATTAAGTCCTGTTGGATGAATAGGAATTAGACATTGTACTTTAGGGCATTCCTAGGAGAAGTCTAGAAATAGTGTGATCAGTGGGGAGAGGTCCTCATCCCCACCACTTGCTGGTGGGAGTGGGTGTGTTGCAATATCCTGAGAATTTTCTGAGATTCACATGGGAAGGTGATACAGTATAGAAAGCTTCATTTCTGTGCAATTATACCGCCGAGTTCCCAAGGTCCCATTTCCCTTTGTCCTGCCAAGAAAGAAGTACCAGTTTGTTTTTAGCAGATCTGAAATCAAAGCCGGTGTCCAGAGTTTCTGTTCCATGTCTCCACAGTCAAATGGAGCATCAGGCTAGCTGATCTGTGTTTCCAGTTATAGTCCATTGCGCGTGAGGTCCACGTGGCTGTGGGCCATGCAGCTATGGAGGCAACAGGGGCAGCAACAAAGCCAGAGGAGCATGGGAGCCAAGAGAGCCACACAGGAGAGGGAGCTTCTTATCTGCTTGTTTACGCATTCCCAAATGGGTGTCGGCTTGCAATGGCCCTGCCTAGTCTAGCCAAAGCCATTGGTCCCCAGGCTTGACTGACAGGTGCTTTCCCTTGTAACCCCAACTCCTTGTGCATGCACTCACCTCCCATTGATTGAGTCCCTTCCCCTGTGGTCTGCAGGGATGGGCCAGTGAATTGCAGCTTCCTGGTGCAGCTACCCAAATAACAGGCCTAAAGCATCTTGCCTTTCCCCTTGCTCCTGTCTATTATTAACAACTACCTAATTGCAATGGTGTCAATAGAATCTCATTTATCAGTCCTTGAGAAAAAACTTCAGAGGTCAGCTTGTTGGTCAGGATGTGAAATATGCACTCACCTCCCATTAGTTCGATCCCTTCCCCTGTGGTCTTCAGGGCTGGGCCAGTGAATTGCAGCTTCCTAGTGAAGCTACGGAAATAACAGGCCTAAAGCGTCTTGCCTTTCCCCTTGCTCCTGTTCTATTAACAACTACCTAATTGCAATGGTGTTAATAGAATCTCATTTATCAGTCCATGACAAAATCTTCAGAGGTCAGCTTGTTGGTCAGGATGTGAAAGTTGTTGTGTTCAGGTTTTAGGAACAATAATTGAGTTTGCGCCTTATTGAATTCAGGACTAACCTTGGACGTTGAAGGCAGAGCATTTTTGAGAGCCAGTTCTCAGGAATTGACTCTAGGAGATCAGTTAATATCTGCAGATCTGAAACTCAAAAAGAAGAGTGAACTTTGAAAGGCCTTGGGTTAGGCTTGAAGTGTTTATTTTGAGATAAAGACTATATTCTGACATGTGGCGTTACTTCTAAACAGTAGGATAACAGTGACAGGGAGTTAGAATATTCAGTGACTTGGTCCCATCATTCCCAGAATTTTTTGGCTCATGGTGCAAAATGTTTTCTGAGAGTGGATAAGAGTTAGTTTATTCTAGAACCTCTTTTTTTTCAGGTGCAACTATCATTCGAAAAGCCAGATGTTAGAGTCCAGATGCCTACCATTGAACGGCTGTCCATGTCAAGATATTTCTACCTCTTTCCTGGCAATTGAAAATCAAAGCTGTTGACAGGTATAACAAATGGGAAAGTGACATTGGTGATGAGGTTCATGGGCTAATGACAGTCAATTGCTTGGGTAGTCAAATTAATGTTGCCTATTGATGTAGTTTAGTGACTAGATATTATTTTTTTTCTCTACTTATATGAATCTGGATCCTCCTCATCTTGATAATCAATTAATCAGTCAGCCAATCAAGGAGATAAGCCAAACTGAGACAGGAAGTAATAAACAATCAAGGACACAGGGTAGTCATCAATGAAACAGAAATGTATTCATGCTTCTATTATTACTCTCTCTCTCTCTCTCTCTCTATCTATCTATCTATCTATCTCTCTCTCAGTACACACACACACACACACACACAAACACACACACCTACTGAGTTATCAAACATTGCCTCAGATCTTGAAAAGCAAAAAAACACACAACAACAACAAAAACAATACAAAACAGAAAACAGAGGAGATGACTGTGAAGGAAGCAGGCTATTGGTCCTTTAAGTGCAGATATCACATTACTGACCTTGAGCTCCTGTTACCAAGACAGCATAAAATATACCCTGGACTATAATTCTTGTGTTGATGCACATTCTGGCTCTCTGACTGTTCTCTCAATGTAGATTGCAGACTCTGCACTCATATCCTTAAGTACTGCTCTGAAACTCTTTCAAGCACCCATTCTGGCTCTCTGTTCTCTCAATGTAGATTGCAGAGTCTGCACTCAAACCCTTAAGTACTGCTCTGAAACTCTTTCAAGCACCGATGTTAACATACATTTATTGTTTTTGGTAAATATATTTTAGAATGGGTCCAATGAATTTAGATCCAGCTATTACTTTACTCACTCATAACAGCTTAATACCACATTGTATTGTAAGTGTATTGTTAATCTTTCTTTAAACAGCATAATTTAAATTATATTTTATAGTAAATTTTATCTCGCTACTTTAAATCTTTACCCACCATTTTGTACTCCTGGTTTGGGATTCCCTGGTGGATA